CGAAGCGGGATAGTGACGTCAACATTCCGTTCATGATTTGTATCGACTTCTTCGACGTCGGTGTCGGGAGGTCGGAGAACGCCCGACATTTGTTGGGGTTGGCTTCAATCCCTCGTTCTGTTAGATAGAATCCTAGGAATTTTCCTGCCTTAACCCCGAACGTGCACTTCTCGGGGTTGAACCTCATTTTGCACTGTCTTGCTTGGGCGAAGACTGTCTTGAGATGAGCTGCGTGATCGGTGTCTGCTCGGGATTTAACGATCATGTCGTCCATATATACCTCGGGCATGTCGCCAATCTGTTTGTTGAACACTTTGTTCATCATGCGTTGGTAAGTTGCGCCGGCGTTCTTCAGTCCGAAGGGCATTACGTTGTAATAATAGTTGCCCGAGCTGGTCATGAACGCCGTGCAGCGTTTGTCGCCCAGAGCCATTGGGATTTGATTATATCCCGAGTAGGCGTCCATGAACGACAAAGTCTTGTAGCCGGCCGAATTGTCGACCAGCATGTCTATGTTAGGTAGAGGAAAAGCATCCTTCGGGCAAGCCCGGTTGAGGTCGGTATAGTCAACACACATTCTCCATTTTCCATTATTCTTTTTAACAAGTACAACATTTGACAGCCAGGTGGAGTACCGGGCTTCAGAAATAAAATTTGCCTCTAGGAGGTATTTTACAGCTTTTTCAGCAGCCTCCGTTTTTTCTGGAGACTGCCTACGCCTACGTTGTACTACGACCTTGGCGGCTGGATCAATGGCGAGGTGATGACAGACGACCTCAGGGTCGAGTCCGGGCATCTCTGCAGCGCTCCAGGCGAAGAGATCAACATTCTCGCGCAGACAGGCCTTGATTTGCTTCCTGGCCAAGTCGGGGAGGTCTTTGCCAATCTTCACTCCCTTGGTCGGGTCTGCTCCGAGGGGAACGAGTTCAAAATCACCGTCCGGAATAGGTCGGAGTGGGATTTGCTCGCTGCTGGATGGCTCGTCTTGGTCGAAGCGAGCGTCGAGGGCTATGGAGTCGACCTTTGGTGGAGCCTTCTGGACTTCTTCCTCGGGGGATGCTCTGTCGGGCTCCTGCTTTGTCCTCTTGGTGGGTCTGGTCCCCACGTCGACGGTATCCCGTCCCTTTGAAGCGGCGTTGAAGCACCTGCGGGCAGCGGCGAGGTCTCCCTGGATGGTGGCTACCCTTGCCCTTTTGGTATAGAACTTCATTTTTAGATGGACAGTTGAGGGCATCACTGTCAGCTCCGCCAATGTCGGTCTCCCCAAGATGCAATTGTATAGAGACGGGCAATCAATGACGAGGAAGCGGACCTTAACCTGTCTTGTAGCCGTTCCTTCTCCGAACGTCACCAGGAGCTCGACATAACCCCAAGGTTTGGAAGTCGAGCCGTTGAAGCCTTGAAGATCTGAACCCACATACGGAGAGAGATGTGAGTCGTCCAGTTGCAAGGTCCGGAACAGCTGGCTGTACATCACGTCGACGGAACTCCCTTTGTCGACCAGGATGCGATGCACATCAAAATTGGCCATCTTTGCCCTTATCAGCAAGGGGATGACTGCGTTCGGGGCTCCGCCGGGGAGTTCTTCTAGGTAGAAGGTGATGGGCTCTGATCTGCCCTTCACCCTTTCGAACGTCACAGTTTGTGGAGGAGCTATGTCGACCAGTTCGTCCAACTTCCTCTTGGCTGAATTGATGGTGAGGTCGTTGAACCCGCCCCCGTTGATGACCATGGCGGAGGGGAAGTATTCCCACCTGCTGTGTGTTGTCAGGGGCTCCTGCAGGAGCTCGGGAACATCGAAATCCTCGGGCCTGGTTACCGAGAAGGCGGTATGGATTGGTACCGACTCGTCTGATGGTCGGGCATCCTCTTCGGGCTCCTTAGCTTCATGGGCGTCACGACGGGGAGCGTCGTTTCGCCTGTACTGTGCGAGCCTCCCTCCCTTGATGAGGGTTTCAATGGCGTCCTTGAGGTGGACGCAGTCCTCTGTCAAATGGCCATGACTCCTATGGTATTGACAGTATTTATTTTTGTCTGCCCCTGGCTTGGCGGGAGCAGGTCGGGGACGCTTGACGCCACCGTCTCTGAAATCTGTGCTAGCACACTCCGCCAAAATACGCTCGCGGGAAGCCGTGAGCGGAGTGTACTCGGTGAAACGGCCCGAGGGGCCCCTTTGTTCCCGGACCTCCCGGGGTCGATCTTCCTTCCTTTTCTCCCCGGTACGTCGGGGAGGAGGGTCTTGTCGCGAGCTGCTGCTATGATTGGGAGCGCGAGCCCTGGAGTCTCGGGCCCTGTTGGCAGCTTCTCTCTCCTCGTAGTCCATGTATGCTCGGGCTTTGTCGAGGAGGGCGTCAAAAGTTGGAGGTGGCTCAATACCCACAGCTTTTCTGAATTCTGTGCCGGGGAGGAGGCCCCTCTCCAGCAAATATCTTTTCATATGGTCCGCGCAGGGGACTTGTATTGCTTCCCGGTTGAAGCGGTTGATGAATTCCCTCAAGGTTTCATCCTGTCTTTGGATGATGGCCTCGAGGGCCGCCTCGGTCTTCGGGTGGCGCCGAGAAGCTGTGAAGGAACTGATGAACTGGTTCTTCAGGTTCCACCACGATGTAATTGAGCCCGGGGCGAGCCCTTTATACCAGTCCATGGCCGCCTTCCTGAGAGTTGTGGGGAAAAGGCGGCATTTGATGGGCCCCCCGACATTATGATAGTGGAGCATGGCTTCGAACCCGTCAATGTGGTCGACCGGGTCCGCTACTCCATCATACTCCTTCAGATGCGGGGGCTTCTCCATGCCCGGGGGGATAGGTGCATCCATGATGGCCTGCGACAGGGGACCGCGGGGGTCGTCCTCGTCACTCCTCTCCGGAGAAAGAGAAGGGGTCCTGTAGTTATGTCTGGCACGATGATCGTGCTGAGATTCCCTCGAGCGTGATGCTCGGTGGTTGAAGGTCACACGCCCGTCTCCGGCGTGCCTCTTGTCGTGCCTTGATGGGTCGCGACTGGGTTCTCCGGCTGGAATAGCGGGCTGTCTCTCATAGTTGGGCCGCCTCTGCTTTGGTCGGGGAGAGGGGCTCCTGGAGTTCTCCCTGTAGTGTCTCCGCGGGGGAGAAGGGTGTCGAACTTCTTCGACCCGAGGAGGTGGAGAAGGTGGCCTCCGATGCCTCCTCGGGGGTCGTCGATCATCTTCAAGTGCCCTTAGTCTTTCTCCTTGGGCGAATATGAGATAATTTGTCTGGTTGATGGCCGCGAACAGTGCCTGAGTCGTGGCATCTGCCCCGGCAGGAACTGGGACTTCATAGAACCGGGCAACTCTGTGATGGGCGAGAGCTACCGGGTCGTCCTCGAGTGCTGGAGGGGTCGTCGAGGATGATGCAGTAGCCCCGTCCCTGTAGGTGGAAGGTCCAGGGGCGGTGGTCACAGGGATGGCAATGTGGCCGGGATCACCGGGATTGTCGAGGTGTCCATTCTTGTCCGCGGGACCGTTATTAGTGTCGGCGACACGGACGGGCTGCTCGTCGCGAGCTGGATCAGCCATGACAGGTAGTTAGATTGAGCTTTGGTCCTTAGAATTGTTCGTTAGACGGGGAAGCTGTTTTCCACAGACGGCGCCACTGATCTGACCTGATCAGAAATGGACCGTCACGGCTGGCTCCGAGCAGAAAGCTTTTTTGAACGAGGTGGGGGGGGGGGGGGTACCTGCAAGGCACTCCGATGCTGAAGTAAGTAGGAGTACGAGCAGATAATAGTAAGTTGAGGTTAGAATGATGAATACATGACCCTCTGGAAGCAGAGGGTATTTATAGCCCCCAGCGCTGGGCCAAGGTTCCTTCATTGGGCCGGGCAGGTTTGGCCCAATGGAGGAACTGCCAGGTTCTACGTGGGTAGTGGGGACCCGCACGTGGTCCCCTTCCTGGATGTTCTGCGTGAAGTGCGGGCGGACGGAGACGCGGTCTTTCCGGAGTCTCGTTGGGGGAATAGTGGACTGAGTCTGCCCTAGTTGGGATGCCTGAGGCAATGTCGAGCTGGACAGCAGGGTGTCGAGCTGGACGACAAGACGTCGAGCTGGACATCAGAACGTGGAGCTGGACAGCAGGATGTCGAGCTGGACATCAGGATGTCGGGCACGGCTGTGACCCTATGGTCGGCGTGGTCCTCAGTAAGTCCCTTTGGACTGGGCCTTAACAATGCTTTTGTGCCTGTCGGGCCCAATCCAGAACATTACCATAATTTTTGGACTTGTAACCATTACATAATATAACCATTATAATAACCATTACATAATCTGTTTGAACATTCCATAACCATTACAAAAAATACAATATCGTTACAGTATTATAACAAGAAAAGTGACCTTAATAGTGAAAAATGACCTTTCAAATTTGTGGTAACATAATCTTTAACACTTGTGTTTCTTAATAAAAAAATTATTGTAAATAATATTTTATTTTAATGTAATAATGAATTTTTTTATAGATGAAAATGACATAGATACAATTATTAAGTGTCAGCTAAATTAAATTTGCCACGTCATTAAAAATAAATACCAAATTAAATAAGGGATTAAACTCAAACACAAAATTTAAAATAAAAACTGAAATAGTAGTTTTAAAGATGGAGGATGAAAATCAAGAAAATGGCTAAATTGGAGACCAAAGTTGCATTTAGGCATTGCATTGTTTATAATAAAAAAAAGTGCGTAATTCATTTTTATGAAAACAAATGGTGAGAAATTCGGTTAATAATAGCCACGAGATGGCGCGAAAGCAAAGGGAAGAAGAAGAAGGTGCCGAAGTTGTAGAATGTCCCTTCACGCCACGGAGCTACTGCATCTCCATTCACATTCACATTCACATTCACATTCACATTCACATTCACATTCACATTCATTTCTCTCAAAAGATTAATCAAAACTGGTGATTACCGATCAAATCCCTAACTAGTTTAGTCTTCAATTCATGAACCCACTCTCTCGCACAAACCTTCCAACTTAGACCTCTACAATGGTACCGTACCCTAATTTTCAATTTCAATGCGTTTTCCTTTCGCTTTCTTTGATTCAAATTGATTATGTGAACGATGAAATGGAACTATGAATCATCTTCTTAAGAAGGTGTTAGTTAGGAGATGATCTACCATTTACGAGTTTGTTTTAGCTTTAGATTTATGAGTTTCTTTCTAATGCTGATCCTCCATGATCAATGTGCATTGTTTGGAATTTCAAAAGAGTAAGATAAAATGGTTTTGAACTCTGTGACACCGACTCCTCTACTTGTGATTACGTTTGCTTTATTATTTTTTAATTATTATCGGTGTCGACGTATCAGTGTGTTTTTGGTTTCTGTGCTTCATAGGTTTTGGGAGTTCAAAAGTAATTGTGTGTAATCCGGGAGACGTTGCATTGAGATCAAATCTTCCCTACTCATATAGTCCTGAGGATGATAGTGCCCCCAGATTGGAAACAAAAAAGAAAGTGATAATCATTTCATGCAAAGTAGACGAATCACATTTGCTTCTGTATGAAGTGGATGTACATACATAATTCGGGGAAAGGGGTTTTTCCCCTACTGTTTTTTTCTTTTCTTTTAGTGTTAGGTAGAAGAGATATTGATTTAGTTGGGACATTAAGATTCTAAATAATATTTACTTCAAGATTCCAAATTGTGACCTGTGGTGGTTTTTATTTGAACATGAACTTCCATTTTTGATTAGCATAATTAGACTAGTGAATTCTGATTCCCGGTATGGTGTAGATATTTGTGGGTTTTTCAAGATTGAAAAACTCAAATTATCTCCCAAAAATATGCAGTAAAGGATGGATTGGGAAATAAGTTTTTTATCGCACTGCTGGTAAATTGTGATAGAACTGATTTTTCTATCAATGTGGTTTTCAGTTGGTTATTATTAGGCTACACTATTTGTAGTAACTGTGCTATAAGATTTCTCATATTTTTTTATTTGACTTCAGCATAAGGGTCCTTTCTAATCAGAAAGCAGAAAATACAAGGCGTATTTTGTACATATTTTACTTTAGTTTGGAAGTTAATCTTTCAAGATGCTCAACATGGGATAAACATGTGACAGAGTGGTGTAAAAATCAATATCTAGAACTTAAGTGAGATCTTAGAACAAATTGTAATGGGAAAAAATAATGATTATTCATCTCCATCTGCAGGGGACTCCAGAGAATATTATTGTGGGTTCTCATGTCTGGATTGAAGACCCGGAGGTAGCTTGGATTGACGGGCAGGTATTAAAAATCAATGGAAAGGATGCTGAAATTGAAACTTCCGATGGAAAAAAGGTTTGTAGGTTGCCAGTAACATGGTTCCTGTTTATATTCCCCCTTTTTTGAGGACCTATTTATTTTAAGAAAAATCTGCAGATTTTAGTCAATAATAATCTTGTTAAATCAGGCTTGCACTTGGAGTCAATTTATGCTGCACTAACTGGCTAAGTATTTCACATAGGCATATTGTAAGACAAAACTTGGTACAAAAGAAATATAGACTAATATTAGTGTGAAGCGTGAACGATTTAACTCTCCTTTAGGAAGGGAAAAATGCTACTGAAGGGAGCCTTTGGCCCTTCATTTTTCTTCTTCTCGAAACAATGTTTTTTTTTTGTCTATATAGTTTAATTCTAAAAAATAAAATTAATTAGACCCCATATCTTCCTTGTGATCAGCTTAGGTTTAGTTCTTTATTTCTTTAACGGTTGATCTTCCCAGATCAGTATTCAAAGGCTCATTATTATCTATGGAAAAATTATTTAACTATATTTTCCACTCTATCCTTGTCTAGTATATTCCTGCTTTTTCTTTACTAGCTGAACTCTACAATTGGGAAATGTAATCAATAGGGAAATATAGTTCTTTCTTACGTTTGTTTTGCCGACTGGTAAAGGTTAAAAGTATTGCAGTAATTTATCAAGCCAAAGATTACATCTGAATTATATAACATACTACTATTTTGTCTATTTCAAGGCTGTTGCAAATTTATCAAAAATATTTCCCAAGGATATGGAAGCTCTTCCTGATGGAGTGGATGATATGACTAAACTGTCGTATTTGCATGAGCCTGGAGTCCTGCAGAACTTAAAGGCTAGATATGAATTGAATAAAATATATGTAAGGCGTCTTCCCTTTGATGCGATAAGATCCAGGAGTTTATCAATTAGACATTGTTACCTATATTCTTAATTTCTATGGCAGACTTATACAGGAAATGTTTTGATTGCAATAAATCCATTTCAAAAACTGCCTCATATTTATGGTGCACAAATGATGCAACAATACAAGGGAGTGCCACTTGGAGAATTAAGCCCTCATGTATTTGCAATTGCTGGTGTTGCATATAGGTAATCTTATAATTTTTTTATTATGATTCAAATCTCATTTTTACCATTGAAGCAAATATTAGTTGATGAATATATTTAATATCAGGGCAATGGTTAATGAAGGGAAAAACAATTCCATTCTGGTCAGTGGGGAAAGTGGAGCTGGTAAAACGGAAACTACAAAACTGCTTATGCAATTCCTGGCTTTCTTAGGTGGTAGAGCTGTAACTGAAGGCAGAACAGTTGAACAACAAGTTCTTGAAGTATGATTCAAATAATTATACTCGTAATTGAATTCATAACAAAATGTCTATTCTTGTTTTCTTTTTACAAATAACGTTTTCTTTGGGTATAATCTATAAAGAATTTTAAATTTGAATGCAGTCAAATCCAGTTCTGGAAGCATTTGGCAATGCGAAAACTGTCAGGAATAACAATTCCAGGTGAGACTTTCTTATATCTGGGCAATAAGGATTCTATCAGTTTCAGTTTGTGATTGTCTGGTACATATAACCTAATTTTTTTGTCTGTCTTTTTGATAAATGGGTGATAAAGGATTTCCTGATAGTCTGATATTATAAATTAACTTGATCTTCAGTTTTGTTTCATTTCACTCCATTCATATTTCCAAAAGGTAGTTTGATGTTAGTATGGACAGTTAGATGACTTTGAATAGTTTTATCATATTGTCTTTCAAGAAACAGAAATATTTTTGCCATATAAACAGATACATGCTATTTGTGTCTAAGCTATTACCTAAGTTCTTAATGATGCAGTCGTTTTGGTAAATTTGTTGAGATCCAATTTGACAAGAGCGGAAGAATCTCAGGAGCAGCCATCCGAACATACCTTCTAGAGAGATCTCGGGTCTGTCAAGTTAATGATCCTGAACGAAACTACCACTGCTTTTATCTTCTTTGTGCCGCACCACAGGAGGTAGCTCCCCGTCTACAATATACTTCTTGTTGATTCATTCAATAATGTAAACTCATTGTAAGTTTTGCTAACAGGAAATTGAAAAATACAAATTAGGAAATCCGAAATTGTTTCACTACCTTAATCAGTCACAATGCTATGAACTGGCTGATGTAAATGATGCTCATGAGTATCTTGCCACCTGTAGAGCTATGGGCATTGTTGGAATAAGTCAAAAAGATCAGGTATTTCTTTCACAAGCACGAATTTAGCTTTGTTCTTGCGAGAATAGAGAATGATTGCTTAATAGAAAAGTAGCATAGGTAGAGAGAGAGAGAGAGTAGAGAAGAGAAAGAGTTTGTTGCAACTGATTTTCTTATTTCTGAAAGTTAGTTACATCTCTGTTTATGACAGAGTTTATATAGAATAGCTATTTAGTCTAAACTTATCAATTTAGCTGCTTACATTATCTCTTCTTTGCCTTAACTTCTATATGCTAAACTATAGATACTCTAATATCTTCCCCTCAAGATCAAGATCCTCGTAGCAAGGAGACTTTATCATGGACCTGAAGTTTAGACCTGAGCTGCAAAAACCTTTGAGGAGAAAGAGGTTTTATGAGCAAATCTGCATATTGATCAAAGGCAGGAACATGTTGAATCAGTAAAGTCTTGCCTAAGACTTTTTCCCTAAGAAAAAATATGTCTAGCTCCATATTTTTTGTTTTGGCATGTAGAATAGAGGATTATGTGACAAGGAAACTGTACTCAAGTTGTCATAAAACATCACAGGAGTAGAAAAGGGAACCTTAAGGTCAGTTAAGAGAGATTGAATCCACAAAATTTCTGAAGCTGAGTTAGCAAGAGCTCTGTACTCAGCTTCAGTGCTGGATCTGACCACTAAGGTTTGCTTTCTGGACCACCAAGAGACCAGATTAGGGCCAAGGAAGATACAGGAACCAAAAGTGGATCTCCTCTCATTAGGATCAGACCCCCAATCTGCATTTGAAAACCCTTTAATGGAGACAGGAGCCTGAGCAGAAGTAGGTTGGAGCAGAAGACCATGATGCAGTGTGCCCTTTAAGTACCTGAGAATTCTCTTCACAGCTGCCCAATGACTGTCCAGGGGATTGGAGAGAAATTGACAAGCTTTATTTACAGCAAAACGGATCTCAGGCCTTGTGAGAGTAGCATACTGTAGGACCCCAACAATAGATCTATAGAAAGTAGGCTCTTGAAGCACATATGTCCCATGTTTTGACAGTTTTAGACTAGTGATCATAGGAGTAGGTAACTCTTTAGATTAAGCCATATTTGCCTTTGAGAGTAGATCCTTTATATACTTTGTTTGAGAGAGGAACAAAGAGCCATTTGCATGGTGTATGACCTCAATTCCCAGAAAGTACTTGTTGGAATTTGTCAGAACGAGCTGTACATGTGTTAATTAGTGGTATATTTTATAGTTAAATAGGATTAAAATCCCATAAATAGGATTTGATTAGCTGTGTATGTATTTATAGAAATTATTAGTCCTTACTTATAGAATTGATTGAGGGCAATGATAAGTATTTATTAGGAATTTCCTTTCCTAAATATATTGTATTCTATTTAAGAGCACAGGCTGCTCTAATCAATAATAATAAAAACATTATCTCTGTCATGGCATCAGAGCTCCAAAATCCATAGGAGCCTGTTAAAAATTGTGGCCTGCATTGCCATTGTTTCCGCTGTGCGGCCTGCATTGCCGATTTTATTTTACGGTCTATCTTGCCGTTTTTCCCAACAAAATTCAGAATGTCTGAACCAGTTAATAAGGATTCTTTATGGTGTACCTTCTGCAAGAAGCCAAGGCACACCGAAGACAGATGCTGGAAACTTCATGGAAAACCGCCAAATCAGAACCGAAATTGGAACACCAAAGGCATTCAACGAGGAGGACCAGCACATGCACACTTGGTCCAATCAAGTGTTGTCAAGGAAAGTCATTCCAAACCTACTGCTGATTTCAATTCAGAAGAAATTACAAGACTAAGGGAACTACTAGACTCTTTAGTCAAACCCACAAACACAGGTAGTTCTTCCATGGCATTATCAGGTAGTTCTCATCCCTATGCTCTTAGTGTTTTACAATCTACAGGAAAAGGGACATGGATTGTTGATTCTGGGGCTACGAATCACATGACCCATTCCTCTATAGAGTTTATCTCTTACACACCGTGTCCAAGTAATAAAAAGATTGTCACTGCAGATGGCACTTTTATTACTGTTGCAGGAAAGGGAGATATTCCACTAAGTCAAAATTTAATGTTGAGAGATGTCTTGCATGTGCCCAAATTATCTGCCAAACTGTTATCTATTCACAAACTTACAACAGATTTACAATGCTTGGTAACATTCACTCCTACACTTTGCAAATTTCAGGATCAGGAAACGGGGAAGATGATTGGACTTGCTAGAGAGGACAATGGGCTCTACCTTCTTATGGAAGCGCGTGAGACAAGTAGCATTAAGAGTCAACTTCCACTGTCTTTGTTGTCAGAATCTATTCCTTCCCTCAATAAAGAAATCTGGTTGCGTCACTTCCGGTTGGGTCATCCTTCATTTAGCACTCTCAAAAATATGTTTCCCACCTTGTTTCAAGGTATAAACTTAGAAAATTTTCACTGTGATGATTGTGAACTTGCTAAACACAAACGTGTCAGCTTTCCTAATAATAATAAAAGAATGTCTACTCCTTTTTCCTTAATCCATAGTGATGTTTGGGGGCCATCCAATATCCCAAATATATCGGGGGCCCGTTGGTTTGTCATTTTTATTGATGATTGTACTAGAGTGTCATGGATGTATCTCTTAAAACAAAAAAGTGAAGTCACTCAAATATTTAAATTGTTTTTCCAAATGATAAAAACCCAATTTGAGACTACCATTAAACGGTTTCGTTCTGACAATGCCAAAGATTATTTTAATCAAACATTGTCTTCCTTTTTCACTGAACATGGTATTATTCATGAATCATCATGTGTCCACACCCCACAACAAAATGGGGTGGCTGAAAGAAAAATTGGGCATATTCTCAATGTTACCCGAGCATCTTTATTCCACACAAATGTTCCAAAACAATATTGGGGGGAGGCTGCTCTTACTGCAGCCTACTTGATTAATCGCTTACCCTCTCAAATTCTTCAGAATAACAGCCCCATTCAGCTCCTCTCCAAATTCTACCCAAATTTCAAAACTTCAAACCACCTAGTTCCTAGGATCTTTGGGTGTGTGTCATTTGTCCATGTTCATTCTCCACATCGAGGAAAACTTGATCCCCGAGCTATTAAATGCATATTTCTTGGTTACTCGCCTACCCAAAAAGGTTACAAGTGTTATCAACCTACAACAAAAAAGAATTTTGTGTCTATTGATGTCACTTTTGTCGAAACCGAATCCTTTTTTTCCAAACCTTATCTTCAGGGGGAGAAGGAATGCATCGAAGATAAGGATGATTTGTTCAAAGACCTTTCTTTTATGCCCAAGTCTCCCGAGTCAAGTCCTATAACCACTTCATTACAGACTTTTAATGCTACTCGTCCACTACAAGTTTACACAAGAAGGGCAGCACCTATTATCCAACCTGTGCAAGTCCCAGAATCTGACCCAATTCTTGAAACTGTAATCAATGAGACTGTTTTAGAGGAGCAAATTGTGCCCCCTGAAACTGAAGTTGATGGGACTGATTTAGAGGAGCAGAATATATCCATGGATGCTAGAGATCTTCCAATTGCAATAAGGAAGGATGTTAGAGCATGTACAAAAAGGCCAAGGTATCCAATGTCTCACTTTATATCCTATGATAATTTGTCCAACAATCATAGAAGTTTTCTTGCTCATTTAAACACTACCGCTATCCCAAAAAATGTTACCGAAGCACTAGATAGCAAAGAGTGGAGAGAAGCTATGAAAGTTGAAATGGATGCACTTGAGAAAAATGGAACTTGGAAGTTAGTAGAGCTTCCTAATGACAAAAAACTTGTTGGCTGTAAATGGGTATTCACCCTTAAATACAAGTCCGATGGAACACTAGAAAGGTATAAAGCAAGACTAGTAGCTAAGGGGTACACACAAACATATGGGATTGACTATCATGAGACTTTCTCTCCTGTCGCAAAAATGAGCACTGTCAGAATTTTGTTATCTCTAGCAGCTAACTATGGATGGAATTTGCAGCAATTCGATGTCAAGAATGCTTTCCTACATGGCAACCTTGAAGAGGAAATTTACATGGAGGTCCCACCTGGGTTTAACTTTGAGAAAGACAAAGTTTGTAAGCTAAGGAAGGCCCTTTATGGACTGAAACAGTCCCCTAGGGCCTGGTTTGGCAGGTTTACCACTGTGATGAAAGATATGGGATATAAACAAAGTCAGGGAGATCACACTTTGTTTACTAAGCATTCAGCCTTAGGGGGAGTTACTGCACTAATTGTTTATGTGGATGATATAATTGTAACAGGAAATCATCAAGCAGAAATGGATAGCCTAAAAGTGTGTTTGCTAAAAGAGTTTGAAGTAAAAGAGTTGGGCAGATTAAAATATTTTTTGGGCCTTGAAGTGGCACACTCTCGTCACGGTATTTTCATCTCTCAACAGAAGTATGTGCTGGATTTATTATCTGAAACTGGTAAATTGGGATGCAAACCAGTAGAAACTCCAATTGAACAAAATCACAGACTTAGTGAATTTGTTGAAGATGCAACTGTGGACAGAGAATCCTATCAAAAGTTGGTTGGAAAGTTAATCTATTTATCTCACACTAGGCCAGACATAGCTTATGCAGTGGGAGTGGTGAGTCAATTCATGCATAATCCCAAAGAAAATCATCTTAGAGCTGTTTACCGAATTTTGCAATACTTGAAGGGCACTCCTGGAAAAGGAATTCTATTTACAAAGGGTCAAGGAATTACTTTGGAAGCCTATACAGATGCTGATTATGCTGGATCAGTAGATGACAGAAGATCCACATCCGGATATTGTACTTTTCTTGGAGGAAACTTGGTGACTTGGAGGAGCAAAAAACAAAACGTTGTTGCGAGGTCAAGTGCAGAAGCAGAATTTCGGGCTATGGCTTTAGGTATTTGTGAACTCCTATGGCTGAAAATAATTCTACAAGACCTAAAGATTGAATGGAATGGACCCATGAAACTATATTGTGACAACAAGTCAGCAATAAACATTGCACATAATCCAGTGCAACATGATAGAACGAAGCATGTCGAAGTAGACAGACA